GACAGCTACATTTGAATATTTATCTCTTGATCGACAAAAAGGTCAAATATTCCATAGCTTTTGTTTCATTCCCAAACCTCAATTTCAGAGCACATTATTGGCCTATTGACACTTTACATAAGTGCATGAGAGTTAGGGTTGGATGAGCATCTCTATGTGACTAATACACCTTGCAAATGTTGACACTTTTTCCACTGAATCACTCGCTGAAACAAATATATTTAAATATACATTGAAATTCAAGTCAACGTCACACTTTGGCCTTGTCTTTTGCTGCATGAGATTGAAATACAGTAGATACAACCTTACTAAAGGAGAAAATGAGGGCATGTTAGTTCTGAAAAGAAGGAAATACTCAGGCTCCTCAAATAATCTGTGCTGCATTATGTGAGAGATCAAAGGGGCTTCTAATACTGGAATTGACTTGATGAAGCCTAATTACTATTAGATAAACATCTAGAAAATTGTTTGGGAGGGAAAGGGAGATGTGACAAAGATCTTTTGGCCCATCTCTCTCTTTCTCGCTTCCTCCTCACTTTCTGAAGTTCATGAGTACATCCCAAAGTGTCTGGTACAGCAAAAGCAACAAAGAGTCTTGTGGTATCTTCACAGGTTCTGTTTGGCACAAGCTTTTTCTAGACCATTGACTACCTCTTCTGATGCAATAAATGCTGGGCTTGCCTCGTGTCAGTGGGTGCCACTGCTTCTATAAGGAGTGAGGAATTCTGTGATAAGAGAAGCTGCAACCACTGTGGGTTGCTTCCACTGGCTTATTAGTTAGTTAGGCATCCTTCAGTCTCGAAAGACTATGGTAACGTGCTCTGTGTGGAGGACTTGGAACAGCGTCTAGTGTGGCTGAGGAGGCCGATTCAAGACTGACAGTCTTTTCCACACTGAAGACAAATACAATCTGTTCCCTGTCCAGCTCCCTGGTTTTGCTGCTTATGTGACTTCCTCTTTGCCTCGGCCTCCTGGGCAAGTGTCTCTTCAAATTGGGAGAGGCCGTGATGCAACGCCTGCCTCCAGGCTGAACTCTCAGATGTCAAGGTTTCCCATCTGTTGAGGTCTATTCCTAAGGCCTTCAGATCTCGCTTGCAGATGTCCTTGTATCGCATAGTCAATATCCAAACATGTGGGACCTTAGAGACTATTATTTTTTAAAGTAAGCTTTGTCCACTTTGTCAGACATACAGAAACAGAATGAAATTTTAGATGAAATGTCAGTTTCACAAGTAGATTATTCTAAATGTTCATTGGATACATGCAGTATTTAAGCATGCATGTTTTAGGGTTAAGTTGTAAAAACTCCTCCTGGAGACAGAACACAGACACTAGGTCTGAGCAAAGATGAGTTGGTTGTATGTCTCTGTCAAACTACAGTCATGGCAGAGATGGCATAAATAAAACCAGGGAATTACCTTGTTATCATTAAGGATAGACAGATCAGTTTAATTACAGTCCAGCTCACTTTCACCCATTCACATTCAATAAACAGCATGTAGAGCTTGGCTTGTCATGTTCTTGCAGGAATTAATGAGAAATTGCTGATAGGATAATGCTGATGAGGATTGCAAGGAATTTCCTAAGGATTTTCATTTTTTTTAGAAGCCAGCTTCTGGGTAAAACTGCCTGTGTTCCCTGCCCAACTGTCCATTTTTTAAAGAAATTGAACAATTTACAAGTTGCCCAACATTAGGGTGTTGATTCCTTTATTTAAGAACTTGAAGTTCTGGATGGGTTATGGGCATCTTTCTTAACAATCAGCCAGTCTTTCTGTGCTTGTGATGTCTGTGTAGTTCTCGAAAGGAAAAGATGCCAGAGACATTTTAGGTATTTTAGGTGCCATATCCACCCAGTTTTCTGGGTTTAAATGTGCATATTTGAAAGTGAGAGCCCAGGACAGAATAGGGATTCTGTTGGTATACCACCCACCTTGATGCTCAACAGACTCCCTGCCTGAGCTTGCTGACCTGGTCTCGGGCGTGACGTTGGAGGATTCTGTTGGTATACCACCCACCCTGCTGCTCAACAGACTCCCTGCCTGAGCTCGCTGACCTGGTCTCGGGTGTGACGTTGGAGTCCCCTCAGTCTGTTGTGGTCTATTATATGCCAGCCCTCAGGAAGAGCTCACTGTGAGGAATTTGAACAGCACTTTGAAGACAAAATTGCTTGGGTCCACTCTGACTTAGATTTTGTAGTTAATACAGGTCCTATAGACGTAACTATGGCCCCTGCTTATCCTGTATTAACAGATAAGTTTCAGTTTTTGCAGCCTAATGATGTGGCCAGGATCCTTGGAGAAGTTGAAGCTACCATTTGTCTACTGGATCCTTTTCCCTCCTGGCTTATATAAGTTACCAGAGAGGGACTGGCAAAGTAGGCCCAAAGGGGGTGGGGGTGGGAAATGCCTCCTTAGAGCACAGCAGGATCCCAGCATGCTTAAATGTGGCAGTAGTAAGACCACTGTTGAAAAAAATCCTCCTTGGACAGCATGGTTTTGGATTATTACCAGCCAGTCTCTAATATTGCATTCTTGGATAAGGTGGTGGAGTGGGTTGTGGCTTCTCAGCTCCAGGGCTTCCTGGAGAAGATGGATTTTCTAGATACATTTCAATCTGGCTTCAGGCCTGGTTATGGGATGGAGACTGCTTTGGTCACCTTGGTGGATGACCTACGCCAGAAACTTGACAGGGGGGATGTGTCCCAGTTGGTTCTCCTGGACCTCTCAGTGACTTTTGATACCATTGACCATGCTCTCCTTCTGGCCATCTCTCTGGGGTCCTTCCTGGAGTGTATGACCCGGAAGGTGGTGTTGGGGAACTCTTGTTCGACACCCTAGCCATTGGTCTGTGGTGCCTCCCCCCCGAGTTCTGTTTTGTCCCCTATGCTATTTCACATCTACATCTCCGCTGGGCGAGGTTTCTGGAGTTTGGATGTTTGGTGTCACCAGTATGCAGATGACACCCAACTCTATATCTCCTTTCCATCTAAATCCCAGGAAACATCTTCAGCCCTTGATCAGTGTCTGGTGTCAGAAATGGGCTGGATGAGAATGAATAAACTGAATCTTAATCCAGAGAAGACAGAGGTGCTTCTGGTTAGTCAAAAGGCAGATCAAGGGATAGGGATTCAGCCTATACTGGATGCGGTTTCACTCCTTCTGAAAACAGCTTAGGGGTGCTCCTATATTCATCCCTGAGCCTGGATGCCCAGGTTTCAGTGGTGGCCAGGAACACTTTTGCATAGTTAAACCTAGTGTGCCAGCTGCGCCCATTTCTTGAGAGGTCTGATTTGGCCATGGGGACATGGGCCCTAGTTACATCTAGGCTGAATTATTGTAACAATATTTTAATTGCATTTTAATTGTTTTGTCTTTTTATTGTATTTTAAATATTGTAAGCCGCCCAGAGACCTTTGGGTAGTGTGGGTGGCATATAAATTAAATAATTAAATAATTAAATAAACAAACAGACAGACAGACAGACAGACAGAAAGAAAGAAAGAAAGAAAGAAAGAAAGAAAGAAAGAAAGAAAGAAAGAAAGAAAGAAAGAAAGAAAGAAAGAAAGAAAGAAAGAAAGAAAGAAAG